TGTGGCTGCGGTCCTTGCGCTCGAGGCTGCATGCGGCCTCGAAGTCGGACTTCATGACGCTTGGGTGCCCGCGCAGTTGCTGTTAAAACGAAGACTTCCCAAGCGAATATGCGGAGATGTTGAAATCGCCAATGATGATCCACGGGGTGCTGAGCGCGTTAGCCAAAGCGCCGAACTTCTGACATCTGGCCAAGTTGGGCCCAGCAAGCCCGACGGGCGGGAAGGCGTAGATCAGGGTAAGTGCAACTGACTACCCACTAAGATGAATTAAAGCGGGCCGTAAGCCGTCGAGATGAGAACGCCCACTGCACGAAGAGGTCGAGCTGCTGCCTCGGACAGTGCTGACTGCACCTGCATATGGCTCTTGGCAAGCGCCCACTCGCCACACTCGTTCGCACGAACCCCTGCGCCTTGCCTACCTTGCGATGGCGACCACGGGCAGGCTTGCGAAGTAGACGGTATCCTGCAGCACGAGCGTTCTTGTCCCAGGTAGTAACCTCCTCAAACCCAACATGTGCCTCAACTTCTGCAACATATTCAAAACTTTGAGTAGTAAGATACTGCTGAGAGCGATCGCCCATACATGTACGACTGCCGAAGAAAACTGTGAACGTGCTATCGTCCTCCCCCTGGGGCTGCGCTGAACACGTCGCAGTCGCTGCTGAGACTGACTGTGAGCTCGTCGCCACTGATTCTGTGATATTGCGTAGTCACAGCGACGCCGCCGCCGCCTGCGTGCCGTCACCCTTGCTTGTGGTGGCGGTGTTTCCCTTGCCCTTGCCCAGCGAACTGCCCTTGGCGTTGGCATTCTGCTCGGCCAGGGCCTTGAGCTGCGCCTCCCTCTTGGACTGGGACAGGCGCTCAGCCGCGTCGGTGAGCTCCTGATCATGTTCTTCTCCCACCATCTGCGCTTGAGCAGGTGTCGCAGCCGTGGGAGCCTCTGGTGGGGCCGAAGCCTCAGCGGCAGGGCTGGGCGAGCCGCCTTTGCCCATGCCTGCGCCACCTATGGGTGGGGTTCCCTTGGGCTGCTCGGCGTCACCCGCTGCCTGCTGCACCTTCCTCTTCTTGTTGAAGCGGTCCGCGAACGACTGAACCTCCTGCGCCTTGGCCAGCATTGCCGCGACCTCCGTCTCTTTGGTACTCATCAGCGTGGCGAGCCCCTCCAGGTCGGACTTGATCTTCCGAAGGGTGGCTCGCTCTGCTTCTTCACACTCGAGCTCTTCGATGCCGTCGAAGAGCTCACGACCCCAGCTGACTGCAAACTTGGGCCTGGAGCTGGAGTCGGCGCCCTGCATGGAGATGCCCCCCCGCCAGTGCGAACGCCTCCGCACACGACTTCTTGGCCCCCTCGGCGTGGGCCAGGGTCACGGCTGCTGCCTTCTCCATGGCGCGCGCCTGCTCCAGGTCGGCCTCCACGCGGACCATGTTCGCAGCCGCCTGAATGTGCTTGTGGTCCACACCCTTGAAGGCGCTCATGGCACGCTTGAGAAACTCTGCGGGACCTCCCGCTGCGGCAGTCTCAAGCGCGATCTTCTGAACCTGAGCATCGAGCATCTGCTTCAGGGTGGGGTCCTCGGTCCCTTTGAGCGCCATGCGGAGCAGCTCTGGGACGCTGTGCGATCGTGGCTTCGGACCCAGGGCGAGATTTGCGGAGCTTGACCTTTCGATTGCACCCTGGACAGGTTCGATCCCTTGATTCTAAGACGTCATTGTACTCGCAACGCTGGCATACGCAACGAAACCAAAGACGAGACATCGAAAACATGAATGTTCCTGGTTTGGTCGACGTCCGTTCCGCCAGATGAGAAACGAAAACGTAGTGCCTCAAGCACCTCGGGCAGGTACAGGAGAATGGGCCCCGCCAAAATGGTTCGGGCCCAAGTGGCTTGAGGGAAGAGGAGGAGGCGGAGGAGGAGGAGGCGGAGGAGGGGCTGGAGGAGGAGATGGAGGAGGAGGAGGCGGAGGAGGAGGAGAAGGAGGAGAAGGAGGAGGAGGAGGACGAGGAGGGTTGAGGAGGAGGAGGCACCCCCAAACAGTGGCATCTCTGGGGGGGGCATTTCGGTTACCTGCGCCCGCCTCTGGTTGGCCCTCCGCCGCCTTCCGCAGTCGGAGCCGCCCTCGCATTTTGCTTCCGCCTGCTCACCGCCGGCATCCCCCCGAGGAAGAGATGGGAGCTCTTTCGACCCCTCGAAGGCAAAGCGATTTCAGAGGCGCCCCACTTGGGAGGCCCAGCTGAGCCTTCCTCCCGAAGTGATGAGAGGCCCAGCAGAAGCGCCCCACTTGGGAGGCCCAGCAGAAGCGCCCCACTTGGGAGGCCCAGAATTTCAAAACCACCTTCCCCCCAAGAGATGAGAACTCCTTGGATTCCTCGAAAGCGAAGCAATTTCAGAGGCGCCCAACTTGGGAAGCCCAGCAGAACGAGATTCCACAGTTGTCCTCATGATCATCCTCACTGCAGCATCGCCTCTCGTGCGGGACGGTGTCGTAGGAGAAGTACGCAGCACCGGCGCTGTGCGCCAGCTGGGAGCTGGGCGCAGTGTGCAGGATCGCTGGCAGAGTTACCTACCCCACAGACAGCAGCGCAGATCTATGAAGGTGCCCAAGGACACACAAATAAATAGACACAAATCCCAGGGCTCCCCATATTCTCCCATATGTTCTGGGTTTTCGTCTTACCCCCACTTCCTATATTTTCCCATGTTTTCATGGGAGTCGACGATTAATTGTGGCTGTGTGTTTTTCTCCTCCTGAATCTAGTGCTGCATGTAATTATGCTCCCACGGGAGCATCTGGACGCCGCTTTACTCATCCCGCGCCTCGACCAAAGTCGGCGACTCGGCTAGCGAATAATCACGAGAGCGCCACGGAGAAGCATACATAATTGTTTCCTTTACGCATGTCCTGCCGGGCGACGTGCAGGACAGTCGCGATCGGGGACGCACTCATCACCTCCTCGGCCGCCCTCGCATCTGCGCCCCTGCTCGTATCCGCGGCAGCAGTGCCGAAGACACCGATGCCCTGGCGGTGGAACGGCGAGGTGGCGTCGGCGTCGGGCCCCGGTGGGACGGCGTCGCGCCACCTGGCGTCGGCGTCGCGCCCTGGTGGGACGGCAGAGGGGGCGGGCCTTCTCAGAAGGCTCAGAAAGCCTCGGACCTTCCGAGACGCTTTCTTAACCTTCTTCGAAGACGCAGAGGGGGCTTCCCGCCCTCTTTCACTTCCCACCTCGGCGCGCCGCTGATGACGGCCAACATGACCAGCATCCGCTCTTGGGCTCTGCCAGTGAGCATGGGCTCTGCGAGGGCCGCCACCTGCGTCTGACCTTGTACCCCCTGACTGCTGTTGGAGAACCTGGATGGCCGCCAGCTCGGAGGTATTATCCATGCAGACGTCCAGAACCTTGACATTTGCTTCCCATCATCACCACACAGGGACGATGAAAACTGTCAACTTTCCAACTGATGGGAGGGGGACTGGACACTGACACTGAAGAACCTTGACGACGCCTGTAACAATCGTGTCCGCACCGTAGACTTCGCCGCTGCAGCACTGGGCCACGCCCATGCGGGACGCGATCCGGCCGCAGGGGGTGGCGTCGACCTTGGCGAGACGCGCACGCGCTGAGACAGCAACGTTCGCGGCGAGCCGCTGCTACCGACGGCCACCACAAAGCCCTGCCAGACGCCGTGAGCCTCGTCGCCTTGGCACGCGGCTGCGGTGCACTACTACAGCACCTCCCGACTATCCTTTCAGCTGTCGTCAGGGCACTCTGACGACGTCGCGCAAGAAACTCGAACTCCTGCTGGTAGCCTGCAAAGCACGCTGCAGAGCACTCGGACCACTCCGTCCACTCCGCCAGCCCGCAGACCGCGGCACGTGCGTCTGTACCGCAGGGCTGCCTCCCCTCATCAGTACCGCACGCCTCGCCACCGCTTCTCGGCTCCTGGCGCGCTGCAGGTACGCTGTCGCACGACCATGTTGCAACGGCGCGTGCAAGACCACCAGGCCGGTCAATCCGACATCTGGCAGCCCACGGGCTGAAGCAACCAGCTTCACGGGACCAGCTGCTTCAATGGCGCGCACTGCACGCCGCACTCGCTGGCCGCCTGGAGGATCCTCCGGGCCGCCGCTCCCTCAAGTACCTCTGCGGAGCTTCGCCTCGCTGCCCCAAGCGGGGCAGCGGTCGTCGCCCTCCACGGAGCACTCGCCTGGCTCCCAACACGACACCTCGCATGCTGCCACATCGGCCAGCTAAAGACTTCGCTGCGACGCCGCCCTGCCTCGTGCTCTGGTCCCGGCCCCGTGCTTCGGTGGTCCGCTGGCTGTCTGCTCCTTCGCTGCACTCGGCTTCGAGGCGACCTCGGCTACAGTCAAAAACCCTAAGACGCGCGGTCAGGACGCAAGACCCTTGGAAGCCGAAGTTGGGATTTCGAGGGCGGCGGACGACGAAAACCTCAAGGACGCAAGAGCAAGGAAGCGCAAGGACGCAAGGGGACCCTGAGCAAAGTCGCGCGTCCTTGTTAGGATTTATGACTGTAGCTGGCTGCTGAGCTCGCCCTGCGCCAGGTGGGGGGAGCTGCAGCTGGGAGGTCGATCTCCTCGTGCGCCTCTCGCGGGAGCACGGCGTCAATTGCCATCAAGTCCCCGACCTCGTCGAGAACACTCCTCCAGCTCGCCGAGCAACATCGAGGCACTTGAGTAGACCTTGCCTCAGTACAGCTCGCAAGCACTGCACATGCTGCGGAGGTTCTCAAATGGGCCATACCGTGGCTCCAGTCAGCATCGTGCAGCCCGTGAGGCCGCGTCGTCGGTGCCGTCGCCGTCACCGTCGCCATCCTCGTCGTCTGTCCTCGCCGCCTTCGCCCTCGCCGCCGCCGCCGCTCTCGCCGCCGCCGCGGCCGTCGTCGTCGAGGACCGTCGTCGCAGTGGTCCTTGTCGCCGTCGTCGCTGCCGCCGTGGCCGCCACCACGGTCGCCCCTCGCCCGCGCGCGTGCCGCGGGCGCCTAGGGCACCGCCGCCGCCGCCAGAGGCCGCGCTGGGAGGGGGAGGAGCGGGGCCGCGCGCTGGCGTCCCCCTCTTGCAACCGCCTCCAACCTCCTCGCTGCTGCTCCAACTCGTCCTTCACCCTTCCTCCTTCCTCCTTCCTTCTCCCTCCTCCTCCTCCTCCTCCTCCTCCTCATCCTTCCTTGTCCTCCTCCTCTTCCTCCTCCTCGGTACAAAAAAGACCTGAGACAGAACACCATCCTTCAAGAACATGAGATCCTACGAAAAACATTTAGGGTACCCTCCCTGAGCCGACCTCGATCGTATACCTCGGTCCGACGAAATGCTCCTCATCATTCCCTTCCTCTTCGCCCTCCTCCTGCCCACCCTCTTCGGGGGGAGGCCGCAGCAGCGCCCTACGGTGTGCTGCGTACCGAACCTCGCAGGGTGGGGCCTTCCCCGACTCCTTGCTTCGGTGCGGATCGTGAGCGCGCCTCGCCTCCGTCGTCGTCGTGGGCGGCGTCGTCGTGGTCGTGGTGCGCGCCGCTCTGCTCGGAACTTGGCTTCCTGGTGCAGTGACCACCCGCTTGGCTCGCCAAGCCTTGCGCGCCGCCTCGCTGTCCGTCCGTCCGTCCGTCCGTCCGTCTGCCTGTCCGGGTCTCTCTCTCTCTCTCTCTCTCCTCCACCACGCTGCGACGCCCGTGCCGAGAACCTCCATCTGGCACGCGTGACGCCACAACCGATGCACGACGTGCCGTTCTGCTCCCAAAACAGCCCATGGTGGCGTCCCTGACGGCCCACATACAGCACATGCTTCCCCAGCAGAAGTCGGCTCGGACGAAGCATGCAAAGCGCCACGACTGAACATCTAGAGGCGTGGGCCCCGGCCACTGCGTCAAGGGCATGCAGTCGGGGCGTCGACCGAAGGAACCCTGAATAAGGAACGAGGCTCCTTTGTTCCATAAGTTTAACTTCGATCTCCCATCGAAAACATAAGGAAAACCTGAGGCAAGCTGTGAAACAATCAAGGAACACCGAGCCCCTCCCCAACGAACAGGGTTCCTTCTTCAGCGCCCCGACTGTATGTATCATCTGGATGGAAAGAGGGTGTGTGCCCACACGCGGCACCGAGGGCAACGCCGAGCAGAGGCCTGGCACTTGCGCAAGACCGCGCCGTGGGCACTCTATGTTGAAGGGGCCCTGGGACACACAAATAAATACAAATAACATGGTTTCCCACATTTTCCCATATTGTCTGGGTTTTTGTCTTTCCCCCCACTTCCCATATGTTCCCATATTTTCCTGGGAGTCGACGACTAATTGTGTCTGAGTGTTTCTTTCCCTCCTGATATGTGCACCCTTCACCTTTGATGACTGCGCCCGGTAGCACGCCAGCGACGGCACCCCGACGCCGGCAGGACGGCACCTCCGCCTGCGGGCGGGGCTCCCCTCGGCACTCCGCCCGCCCCACAGGCCGAGCCGCGCGTGCAAGAGCCCGCAACGGCCGCCGAAACGTCGAGGGCGCCTCCGGCCACAGGTCGCCCGCCGGGATCGCAGGCCAGCTCCGGGGAAACGCAGGCTCGCACTGACGTCTGCCCTCCTCCTCCTCCTCCTCCTCCTCCCTCAACCACGGTCGGGGCCCTTTGCTCGGCGTGTCGCCGCGGATAGCGGGTCGCTCCGCTCCGCTGGGCGGGAGGATGGGAAAGAGGTTCGGGGCGCTGACGGTCTTGCACCTGGTCGGCGTGTCGCGCTGAAGCGCGAGAGGCTGGACGCGGCGCCGCTGCGCGCTGGGCAGACGTTCCTGACCGTACCCGGTTCAGATGTGGAGCTCGAAGCGCTCGCAGGCGCGTCTGACATAGAGCATGGACGCTGTCTGCGCCTGATCGCAGAAGTTGCTGAAGCGGAAGGCATCGTCGAGAATCCAAAACGGCAGATATGACGTCAAATTTGAGCCACAAGCCCTCTCGCCGAGAACTTCTGCACATGCATCGAGGCCGATCTTGAAATCTAGCATATCCAGTCCTACCCCAAGGATGACAATCGCGACGACGCCGGCATTGCCAACCTTAGGCGCCTGGATGGAGAGACCAGGGATAGGCTCGGTCAATGTCTCCCCTGCCTCGATGTCAGCGAGCGCGTGGTTGAGTATATGGGCTTGTTCGGTGACTGTGAGGTCGAGGTGCGCGGCCTCATCGCCTTGGCGCAGCATCTAACATCAAACCAATCTGGTCACTCTGGAGCAGACTTGCGCTACAATGTACAACTCCTCCGAACATCTGGCTTGTGCAATTGCACTCGGAAGGCAGGTCGCCACCGGTGATCTGGCAGAACGTAGCATTATGATCGTTCGAGATCCCGCCCTGAAGCAACTCATCCTGAAACTTCAGATTCTGCACGGTAGGGAAAGCGAAACCGGCACAATACAAAAAACATACAAAGATCACGTGCACATGCATGACTATTAAGACGTTCAATTCCGAAGGCCTCACAGTTGTCTTTCAGCCTGGAGCCAAGATGGCAATGGTCGCTGGGGCCTAGGTAGTGCGTGGCGATATCGAGTGGGCGGACACTGCGGCATCGATGACATCTGCATGCTTAGTGCACCACAGCGTACAACGAAGCTTTTCGGCCCGCACAGAGGCAAGGCTCTGCATCAAGCCTGGCCAGACGTATGAAAAACGGATCCGCTCTACGGAGCGCAGCTGACTCGGATCTTACCGGAGTTGCCCAGGATGAATGTGTAGCTCTCGTCTTCTGTCACGTGCGACTCTTGTCCAACGTTCGTGCCGATAGTCGTGGCATGGGCCTCCTCACCCCTCGCCCCTCCACGGAAACCGGTTCTTCAATTAAGGTCGACTCGTGGTGGTCCGGGTGCCTGTGGCCTGGAGTGGGCCTCTATGACCAAACTGCGCGAAGACTGGACGTTTCGATATGTATCGATTCCCCAAGCAAAGCTTGCACTGAAGGAGTCCTAAGGGGAATTGAAACACTTAGCGAAAGTCCCGAAACGAGTTCGGTGGCTGGCTGAATTCCGGGGTTCCGGGTTCCTGTGTAAGTGGTTGCTGGTTCTGGGCCGATGTGTCTCAGTGGTTCCCGTGTCTCTGTGGTCTTGTGTTCCTGGTCTATGTCTTTATCGATCCGTCCCACCACCGATCTCATTACCCACCTCTCTATGAATTTCACGATTGATGTCTCAATCGGTCTCACTATCGATCCCACAGTCGATCCCAAAATAGATCGCACGAGCGATCGCACGATCGATCTCACTATCGAAATCACTGAATGGACTTCACTATCGGTCTCACGAGCGACCTCACGATCGTCCTCACTATCGATCACACTATCGATCTCACGGAAGATCTCAATATCCACATCACGAATTTTCGAACCACCCACTGAATGGGGTTTTCTCTGGTGTACGTTTGTTTTGTGACGACGACGGTCTGGGAAGGAGGAGGAGGAGCGCAACGCCTCAGAGGGGGGGAAGACATGTCCAGTCCTCATCTGATCAGCCTGCCAGTGGCAACGCTGCGCCAGGCGATCGCTCGTAGGCGAACGCGGGCGTGCTGCTCTGCGCGCCTCGGGCACCGCAGTCCGCGAGTTCTTGAGGCATGGAAAGCAGAACGTATCTCATCGATGGCAATCGCTGGATGATATGTGAGTGCAACGAATATCCCTTGGTCTGGCTCGTATTGCGCTAAGCAGAAGCGTCTCGATAGGGATTGCCTTTAGCAGCCCAGCGTCTAAGGCGATGAGGAGAAAAGGAAGGGGAGGAGCAACGCCACAGAGGGGGGAAGACATGTCCAGTCCTCATCTGATCAGCCTGCCGATGGCAGCGCTGCGCCAGGAGATCGTTCGTAGGCGAGCGCGGGCGTGCTGCCTTGCGCGTCTCGGGCATCGCAGTCCGCTAGCTCTGGAGGCACGCAAAGCATAATAGATCACATCAATGGCAATCGCGCGCGCAATGTTATCTTCTAGTGGCTGAACAACCCCAAAGCATGGCAGGCTGATGGCATTAGCATCAGAACCCCAGGATATGGTGGGAGGCGGAGGCGAGCCAACACCAGAGGGCGAAAGTGGGGGCATCCCACATTGAGATTAATCTGGTCGCCAGCCATGTTCTGGCACCCGAAATGACAATGAGAGGTGGCTTAGCGAAATGAATATTCCACGTGCTGCACCCGTAGCACAAAAGTGAGCACAAACTTGGACATGAGGAGGAGCCTACACTGAATCAGACCAAGCTGAGGACGAGTAACCTCTGGAGCCCAATACTCCACTCTACAACCGATGAGACCTTCGACGTGTACAACGGGTAGTTTAGCAGCAATGACCTTGGCGAATGTAGTTTGGACACCGCGAAGGGGGACAATGACTGGGTAGTTAGGCATCTGCACGGCGATGTGATGTGACCTCATCATGTTCTATAGAACGGGGTCGAGGAAAAGAGGGCGTGCGCACCTGGCGGCGATGTTCGCGTCGTCAGGCGCTAAGAGATTCTGAACCCACTTCCGCATCTAGTGAAACGCGTTACGTTGCTCGGTGGTTCGAAGCGTCGCAGCCTGGGAAATGGCACTGGGGCGCGCAAGATGTTTGCCAAGGCCAGACTCGCCCATATGATATACAAAAAACCCTGGCGGGAAAGTACGCCGAGGAGCCCGAACTAAAGCTTGACGACGCTCTCTCTCATGGGTCCTGGCGTACTTCGGGAGCGGCAGGAACTGGGAAACGCGACTACAGACAAGCGCGGCGTAGATATTGTAGGCCACGGTGCTCTCTGCAAGACTCCGGCCAATTTGTTTGACTTCGCGAGTGCGAGGAACAAACTTGAGGACAGGTGCGCGCCATGCCTCCAGCGCTGCACTGCGCTCTGCCGTGACGAGCAGATCCACGGCGCTGCTTTGAATCTTAAACTTCGGCATGATGACCCTTACGCCTCTCTAGAGGGTAATCCCATATGAGTGGATGTGCGGAGACATGTAGTATGCAAACATCTCAACGAGCACGATGCAGCGGTGAGTGAGTATGGCTTACGAAAATAACGTTGTCCTCTCAGCATAGCACTGTGGTTGTTGAGTTAGCTCGGTGCAACCAACAGCTCAGTGGAGGATACCAATGAGGAAGTGAAAGGGAGGAATGATGGTATGTACAAGACAAGACAGTACCTCGGCAATCGTTGTCTCGCGTTTAGATTGTTTTTCTATGGTGTGTGATTTTGTCAGTGAGTCGACTAGACTCACTGTGCGGATCATAGTGTAAAGATGCAGGAGGACGGTGGATGAGAGAGACAATGGAAGACAATATGTTGGAAAGTGTTGCCTTCTGCGGGGATGGCGCTCCAACGGTTACCTCCTGATGGAATGGGCGTCCCCTGTGTGTAGCGCAGTGTTCATTGCAAACAGGGTCGTCGAATCTAATCAGTCGCGGCTTCAGAGTCAATCTGATTGAATCACCCCCCGGAAGGAGGAGGCGGAAGGGTGCATAAGCATACGCTGCTTGTCTGATTGCCTGCGGACGTGTAGGAACCTTCGAAAGTGAGGAGGGGTCTAAAAAACTAAACAAATCTAATTCATAAACAAAAAACAGAGAGGTCCTAAAAAACAAAACATCAAGGCTCCGACAAATAACATCGGTGATCGGACGTCTGCGCCAGCATAAATTCCGATTTGCCTTTTAGTTCTCGTTAGACCTGTCGATGTGTTTTGGTTTATGGTTTGTTTTGTATGGTTTTTTGTTAGAACTGTTGCCACTTTTGGCGGCACTGGGTGACTCCGCCCCCTGCACCCTCCCTCCTCAATCCTTCCCCGTCCGCCTCTCCATCCTCTCTCCATCCACCCTCCCTGAAAGCAATGCAATGCGATTGCGCTGCAACGTGATTGCATCTCAATGCAATGCAATGCGATTGCACTGCACTGCAATGCCAGACACAACACAAACAACGCAGCATACGTATGAGCAGACCTCCAAAAAGCGGTGGGCCCACGGATGGGCCCACCTATTCCCCCTACCCCTGCCATTCGGCGTGGGGCTGGGCACAGCTTTCGCTGCCGCTTGGGGGGGACATACCAGGACCTGCTTTGCCCAGAGCAGGCCGAACTTCAAGGGGCCCAGGGACACACAAACAAATACACACACACACACACAAATAACCGGATCCCCCATTGTTTCCCATATTTTCTGGGTTTTCGTCTTCCCCCCCCCCCCCACTTCCCATGTTCTCCCATATTTTCCTGGGAATCAGCGATTCATTGTGTCTGTGTGTTTCTCTCCCTCCTGATTTGCCCAGAGCGGGCCGAACTCCCCACTCGAGATTCCCAGAACCAGCACCAGGACCAGGAGCAGCAGGCAGGGCGGCGGAGGAGGGACTGCAGCCGCAGAGACAGCAGGAGTAGCTGGAGGGAGGGAGGAGCGGCACGAAAAACAACGACGAGGAGGGGAGGAGGAAGAGGAGGAGGAGGAGGGGGCGGAGGAGGAGGAGGAGGAGGAGGAGGAGGAGGAGGAGGAGGAGGAGGAGGAGCAGGAGGAGGAGGAGGAGGAGGAGGAGGAGGAGGAGGAGGAGGAGGAGAGGAGGAGGAGGAGGAGGAGGAGGAGGAGGCGGAGGAGGGACGAGGGGGACGAGGAGAACCACGAGGAGGAAGCTGGGAGGAGGAGGACAGGCGGCCGTGCCGAGGCCCTCCCGCCCCCCGTGGCGAGGCGCGCGCGCGCGCGCCCGCGCGCCTGGCGCAGTGGCGCAGCAGGCCGCCGGCACGGGAGGCGGCGCCCGACCACTTGCCTGCCGAGCCGCGGCGAGGGAGAGGCCCCTCCTCTCCTCCTCCTCCCCACCTCCTGGCTCCTCCTGGCTTTTTCTCTTTCTCTTTCTCTCTTTCTCTTTCTCTCTCTCTCTCTCTCTCTCCCTTTCTCGCTTTCCTCATCCTGTCCTCCTCCTCCTCTTCCTCCTCCTCTTCCTCCTCCTCCTCCTCCTCCTGCAGTCCTTTTCCTGACACGTAAGTCCTCCGTGTCGACGCCCAGACGTGTTGGTAGGGCGGGCCTGGCGTTCCGCCTGAGACGTCCTCACCGATTACGATGCTGAAGCTCAAGACTTGCTCGGAAGAAAGGGCGCGACCACATGCCTTGCCACGGCTCGGCCTCAAGCGCTGTGCGAATCAAACGGTCGCGAGGCAAACAAAGAACCCCACACCAGCTCTCCTTCGATAAGCAAGCTCATGCAGCGAACTGCGGCCTGACAGAGGAAGCGGCCGTGCTGCATGTGAACACGGTCAGGAACTGTTTGATAGCGTGCTGCCACGGCGGCCCCAGCGACACGCAACGCCTTACGAGTGGATAGCGTGTCGCTCCGCCCCGCGGAGCGGGAGGCTGAAAACAGCTTTGGATGTGGACGCTTGGGGACCGCGAAGTGGATAGCGTGTCGCGCCGAGTCCGGCGGGGCGACGTGCTATCCAAATGTTTCCGACCGTACCCCGTGTGGTCAAAATGGCCAACGATACTACATTCACACACCACACGGCGAGAGGAGGCTGGGGGGAGGGGGGTTCATATCCTGAAGCTTGACAATTTACAACAGCTTTCAAGCTGGATGGGGGATAACACGTGGATCTAAGGAGTCGACAACGAAGGCGGGCTCTCCTCAGCTATCTTCTCCTCCTCCTCCTCCTCCTCCTCCTCCTCCTCATGATCATCATCATCATCACCACCACCATCATCATCATCATCATCATCACCATCATCATCATAATCATCATCGGCACCAGCATCATCATCACTACCACCACCATCATCATCACCACCACCACCATCATCATCATCATCATCAGCATCTTCATCATGATGACCAACATCACCACTAACATCATCAACATCTTCTTCTTCTTCACCATCAACATCATCATCAGCATCATTATCCCCACCATCATCATCATCCCAGCATCATCACTACCATCATAAACCTCGTAATCAGCATCAAGATCATCAGCAACATCAGCAACAACACCGACCTACACATCGTCATCATCATCACCAACGTCACCATCGTCATCAACATTATCATCCATCAGCCTCCTCCTCCTCCTCCTCATCCTTTTCTTCCTCCTTCTCCTCTTCCTCCTCATCATGCTCCTCTTTTCCTTCTCCTCCTCTCCGCTCATCCCTTCCTCTATGCTTCGCTCCATCTCTCCCTCCCTCATCCTCCTCCCTCCCCCTCCCTCCTCCCTCTGCCTTCCTCGGGGATTGACTGACCAGGGTCAAACCAGACCTGGGTCAGTCAAACTTTGCAGCATTCTGCAAGATCATGCAGGGTCCCCCGTCTGCACTGACCCGGTCTCTTCAGCCCCGATTCCCTCTTTCTGTTCACTGCCCGACCCCTCTTGAGAGGAGGGGGAGGCGGAGTCAACGGGGGAAAGGGGTTACTCTCTCTCCGTTTCTCGGCCCTCGTGTCATACCGACGAGACCATCCGAAGGGGGAGCTCCTCCTCATCTTCCTCCTCCTCCTCGTCGTCCTCCTCATCCCTTCGCCTGAGGGGTGAGCAAGAGAGACGGGGGAGGGATAAGTGGACAGCAGCAGCACAAAGAGAGAGGATGAGGATGACGATGTGTATGATAATGATGATGCTCATTCTGATAATGAGGATGAGTATGGTCATGGTGATTATGATGATCAGATGATGAAATGGTAATGATGGTGATGATGACGATGACGATGACGATGATGATGCCAATGATGATGCCAATGATGATGCCAATGATGATGCCAATGATGATGATGATGATGCTGATGATGATGATGATGATGGTGATGGTGATGATGATGATGATGATGATGTTGATGATGATGATGATGATGATGATGATGATGATGATGATGATGATGATGATGATGAGAAGGAGGAGGACCATGACCCCCCAGAACACCCCAGAGGCCCGTCAAACCCTGCCACCCCCTAAAACACCCCCCACCTTCCCTCCAACCCTCCCTCCCCCTTCTCCTCCCTTTTGCCTCCTCCTCCTCCTCCTCCTCCTCCTCCAACTCCTCCTCGTCCCCCGTCGTCCTCCCTGCCTCAGCCCGTCCCCTGGGCCCGAGCCGTAGCTGCAGCCGTGTTGCCCCCTTCGGCGCACGCGCCTCCCATCCTGGCGCGGGCCCAGCGCGTCGCCGGCTGCACAGCGACCGCGAGATGCCGGCGTGGAGAGAATCCGGGCTGCCTCCGCCGCAGCCACCGTGGCAGCCCGCGGCGCCACCCCCGCTGCCGCCCCCGCGCCCGCCGCCACCGCGCCCGCCTCCGCCGCAGAGGCGTCGAGCCGCGGCCCTTCCTGCGGCCGTGCCCGTCTCCCCGTGCTCGGGGCGCCCGGCGTCCTCGTGCTGCCCCGCTCCTGCTCGAGCGCGTGCAGGTCTCGGTCTGGTCTTCGGCGAGGCCCAGCGGGGCAGTGGATGCTCAAGGTGCAGGGCCAGCGGCCGAGCAGCATGCATCCCTGAGAGTGCTGCCTCCGCCAAGGGAGCTGGTTCGGCCCCCAGTTCTCCACCTCCGAGAGTTGCGGACGAGCAGGACGGACATCGCCGTCCCAACAGGTGGGAGCGCGCGTCCTCCTCTCGGACTGCCAATGACGCACCCGAGCGCCCGTGTGTGTGTGTGTGTGTGTGTTTGTGTTTGTGTGTGTGTGTGTGTGTGACAGGCCTCGATCCAGCGCCTGTCCCCATGCGCCGCCCCCTGTCGCCGCCCCCGATGCACACTCGAGCTTCTTCAGAACGTGAGGCTGGGCGCCGTGCTTTCTTAGCTTGCACTGGCATCTCGGACGTCCAGCATGCTCATACTTCTTATCAGCTTGCTGGTAGCACCGCTGACTCGCGGCTTCGTCGGTTCTTTCGATCTCAAACCTCCTCAGCGCCTGCCCCTGTGGGACGCCCCCGATCGCGTTTCAGCACCCCCCGTTTGAAGAGCGAGGCCGAAAGGCGCCGCTGTGCTATGGCAACAGCCCAGAAGATCTCCTCCTCGCGAGCACTTGTTACATGCGAGCTGTTCTGCCAGTGCTAAGGCTCACCAGGAGTTGACTGACGGTGGCATCAACGCCTACCTTCGGGCCAGACGTGCAAGACTCACCTACGAAGACGCCGTGCAATACGGCTCACTTCCCGAGCACGGGCGTCCTCCCCTGCCAAATCGCGAGGCCCTCAAGGCGTCTGGATTCGACCAGCCGCCACGACGGGACTCAGGCGCAGGATCCTCAGGCGCAGGGGCAGATGCATCAGACGCAATTCCCCCTGCCAGCCGACGTGCGCTGGTAGGACATGGCCTGTTCCGCGAGCTGATACTGGCTGGTTTCACTGCCTTCAGCTTTTACCCAACCAGCCCACAGCGTGCCATCGCCTGCGAGCTGATCACGCACGATGGCCGCTGGCGCAGTGCCAGGATGCGCAGAGCAGGCAAAGGATTTCAATGCCGATCTTGCTGGACTGAATTTGCCTGGTCTCGTGCCGCCCAGGCTCGTGGCCCTGTCCGCCCATAATTCGCTCGTAGTATTTCTTGGCTCTGGCGCTGCTCCGATCTGGTGCACGTTTTCACCTCATGTGGCTTGGAGTCGACTGTTCATCTCTGCATTGGAGGATGTTGTGCCCATCCTCTGCTCATTCAGTAGCAGCACACGAGCTGGCCGCGTGTATTCCCACTATTGGTTTCAGATCCTCGTGCCTGGCAGCAAGGGATGTGCCTCCCCCTGCTTCCCCCTCCATCTCCCCCCTTGCCTCGTCCTCTGCTCCCGGCTGGGTTGGCGCCCGCCCATTCGGGCCTTCGAGCCTCCCATGCCTCCTCCTCGTTGGCACAGTCCACAAGTTTCTTAAACCCGTATTAAGGCGAACAACTCAGAATCACGGCAACGGCCGCCGTACGACCTAAATGTGTCGTTACGAGCCTTCGTGCCCGCAAACGTTCAACTAAATTGCAACCGGCAGATTGTCGCATCTTACTGATGCCGGTATCGATACCCCCGTCCCATCGCCCTCCCCGCCCCCCTCCTCGCCTCTCCGCTTCCCCCCACCCCACCACCCTCCGCTCTCCCTCTCAGCCCTCCCCCCCCGAGGACGACGCCGACGACGACGAGGAAGCGGAAGGCGCCTGCGAAATCGTCTGGGCAGGCGGGGCACCACAGGGACCTGCCCGCTCCCGGCAGGCAGGTCATGGCGTCGACCACCGCCTGCCATTCGCCGCGCGGTTGCCCTCGCCCACGTCCTCACCGCCGCCACCGTCATCGTCATCGCCATCGTCCTCGCCCCTGCCGCCACCATCGTCGTCGCCGCCGTCGTCGTCGTTGTCGGTATCGTCATTGCCGCCGCCATCGTCATCATCATCGCCGTCGTCGCCGTAGTCGTCGTCGTCTTCGCCATCGCCGCCGCAATCGTCGTCGCCAATATCCTCGCCGTCGCCTTAGTCATGGCAGCCGCCATCGTAATTGCCACCATCGTTGTCGTTGTCGCCTATGTCTTTGCCGCCGTTGTCGCCGCCGAAGGAGTAGAATTGTGGGAGGAGGAGAGGAAGAATATGATATATGATGATGGGGAACAGGAAGAGAACAATATTAGACCCAAGATGCGCCAACAATGCTGCAAAACACTATCCCGTCCCAAGTCCCCTCCTCATGCGTCCCTACAGGCTGTCCTTTTCACTACACGAAGCGCAACCCTTGAGAGACCAGCGCCACATGGGCCTGCCAATCTGGCGAGGGCCCCGTGTTGAAAGTAAGCCGCCTTGCATCCTTCTGGCGCGTACTCACGAAAGCATACTTTATGACAATACAAGTCAAAGAGGTGGCTGACCGTACTCCCCTTTCGAAAGAAGCCCGCCCCTCGGGCTCACCCGTGTGAAATTGATACACCAAGAAGCATGTGTGACGTGGCTATCAACTTCGAGGAAGTCCCTGGCGATGACTGCATTTTGAAATGGACCCGCCCTCGAACCGTTCGGTGATACATGTGTTGAAGTGTCTGGTCTCTCAAATAAGGGCCTCCCAAGCGAGAGTACAGTCTTGAAGAAGAACCGAGCGCCATCCTTCTCATCGTTGAAGGTTTACACAACGAGTGTGCGCGGATCCAAGGCGAGAGACTTATTTTGATAACAACCTGTCCTCCATGCACGTACAGCTGCAATTGTTTCAGATTGTTGTTGTTTGTTGCGAGTCTTCGTGCAAGGCAGGCGAGATTCGACTCGGCACACACTTGCTCCCTGCGGGTTTGCCCTGCAGGTTTGCCCCTGCAGGTTTGCCCCTGCAGCCCGACTCGGGCAGCGAACACGCGCCCCGCAGGTTTGCCCTGCGCTCTGCAGCAACCCAGACAGCATACTGCTCGAGACAAAACAGATAAAATGCGTTCAAGAATCATGTACAGTTCCCGGGAAGATGCCGATCGAAGAACACTTGAAATAATTCAAACAGGGTGCCAACTTCCGGGCGCCTCGATCTCCGGGTGCCGCGGCGGGGTGCCGGAAGCCGTCGGGAACCGGAAGCCGAGCGGTGCTGCCATGGTCCAGGTGCTCTGGCCAGCACTGCGCCCCTCGCCACGATCGCGGGAGCCTTGCACGGCATTGAACAGGTAGAGCGGCTCCCCTCGCTCGTCGAGCAGAAGCTGCGGCCGTTCGCGGCGCTGCAGCCTGGTGCTGGATCCACCGTCCCAGCTCGCGAGCAGGTCGTACGCCGGGTCCTCGACGGTTCGCCAGAACTTCCCGTCGACCGAAAACGCGTGCTGGCCCACAATCCCATTGAATTTGTTCTCGAAGAGCATGTGGTATCCAGAACCGTCGGAATTCGCGAACACGACTGGATCCTCCCCGCTGGGCGTGATCGCAGTGTCGCGGATGCGGTGGTATGGGCCCGTCCATGACTGGGCGAAAAATGCTCCGATCTTGCGATGGCGCTGGCCGTCGAAATCCGGATGGAAGCGGTCGTCCCCGCGGTAGTACAGAAACACAGAACCATTCTTGAGTATGAGCGGGGCCGGGTTCGTGACAGCCGTGTCCCAGTAGCTGCCCCTTCGGGGCTGGATGATCGGCGTGCCATTGTTCAGAAGGCTCCACGGCCCGTCGAGCGACTTGGAGAACGCGATGCGGATGCGGCCGTCGAAATTCGCGGGGCCCCCGCTGCTGGCCGAACGCTTAGGTTCAGCCCTCCGCCCTTTCCGGCAATCCCTCAGGTAGAGCGAGCGCTCGTCAGCGGAGAGGGTCTCTCCGATGTGGTAGAGCAGGTACGTCCCATCGGGTGCCCTGGTGATTGTCGGGTTGTGGGCGAACTCGGAAAGCACCTCCTCCCTGAAGCTGTATGGTCCGTCTGGGTTCTCAGAGACAGCGTGGTGGATGACCGAATTCAACTTCCAGTTTTTCAAACCGCAGTCCTGGCTGATGAATGAGACGAACATGTGGTAGGACCCGTCGTCGGCACGGATAGCGCTCCCCCCCCAGCTGGCCCCGTTCGGGTTACGGTACCCGTTGGTGCTGGCGTTGCTCGCCTCCCCGATGGCCAGCACCTCGCATTTAGTCCCCTGCCAGATTGGATAGCACTGGCACCTGCCCTCTACGCACTTGCCGCCCAAGGAGCAGTCCATCGCAGTTTTGCACCCGGCGCTCGTAGAAAGGCTGATCGCAGCGGCCCCCCAGGCCACAAGCGGAATCAACAACGAGGCCAGCCGCGTCATGGCCGCAGGCTCACTGAGCCTGGATGTAAACTGAACGTGCCTTCAATGAACCATGGTGGACCTCGACAGCTCCCTCGAGCCAGAGTGGGGACGGACGGCGGCAACTGTTGATGAGGATGAAGCTGCGTGGCGCTTGGGCGACGGCCTCCCTGCGGCAAGAACCGGCCTCCACCCGTGAAGCCGCTGCAAGGGCTGACAGGCCGGCGTGCGCCGCGCGAGGGCGATGGCCGCCTCTCGACAATGCCCCCCCGCATCCGTCCCTGGAGCTGCTGCAAAGCCCCACCTCGAACAGGCCGACCCGTCCAGCCGTGAACCCGTTGCCGGATGTCTGATGCCAATGCGCGCACGGCGCTGGGGCAAGAGCAGCACCTTGACGAAGAACCTCCGTCCATCCTTGCAGCTGCGCTCGGGCAAGAGGCTCGTGTTGACCCCCCTCCATCCCCGCAGCTCTGGAACTCGTGACAAGGGAAGGCGCGCAACGCTAAGGCGAATGTTCCATGTTGAAAACGCCGCGTCCTCTTCTCTTGAAGCTGATGCGGGCTCCAGACTTCAATGTCACAATCCGTGGGAAAACGGCAAAGGCGGAAAAAAACGGCCCGCCCCACCGACACGACAGGGAGGTACTGTATATAAGGCACAGCGATGGCGGTGGAGAGAGACGAGGAAGAGGACGACGGGATCTGCCAGACATCGCACGCACACACCCCACCTCCCCATCAGTCTTGCGGAGAGGGGCTGCTCAAACCCGTGCTCACCGCGCCCAGGTCCCAGCCCACCCCTCCCCAAACACGACACGTGCCTCGACTGCGCCCCCGAAGAGGGATGCACGGATCGCCTTTGCCCCCTCGCGATCCCCTTCAGAAGGAGGAGAAGGCGACCCGCGTCGCACCGGCATGGGGAGCCCGCTGCTCGACCGGAGGGCGGTAGGCCCGCTCCACGAGAGGACCTGGCGCCCCGCTGCTCGACATCGGCGGAGATCTCGCCCCACGATTGGTGGGGGGGCGTCGCTCCGCGATGGGAGCGGCGCCTCGCTGCGCCACTGGGCACTGCTCGCGAGTCATGGGGGGCCTCGCGCGGGGCCGGCGCAGCTGCACAGCATCGGCGGTGGTCTCGCTCCGCGACTGGCTGCGAGGCTCGCTCCGTGGCCGGGCTGGCGCTCCGAAGGGGGCCTCGCTCCGCGATCGGGGGCGCCACGAGGCACTGCAAGGCGGGGTCCGCCGCAGCATGCGCGCGGGGGAGTTTATGTAATATAGCATCCCGCAGGGGACCCGTAGCATCCGCAAGAACATCTCTGGGCTTCTGTGGGCCATCCGACGGGCTGCTGAGAACTTGTTTCGGAAGCCTACGGTTTCTAGAGGGTGCCGAACAGAAACCGTCAGGATTCCTGAGGAGGTCCTTTGGGTCCCCGAGGAACTCGTCAGGATCATAAGGACATCGTCAGGCTCCATTTTGGAATCGACAGGCTCTTGAAGAAGTCGTTCGGATACCTCAGCATCCGATGTCGTGATTTGTGGTGGCTCCCCAGAAGACTGGAAACCCCTCAGGGGGAACGGCTCCTTTAACGGCCCCGGGGCCCAGAAAGGGCCCCGGGAGGCCCAAACCTACCACACACCTTCTGTCGTTAGTCTTCCGCGGCGCGAAAAGTGTACCTCATCGGCTCAGACGGGGTGAGGGGGGGGGGTAAGCGAATCAGCTCACGATGCTGGCTCCTGTGGTGCCTGCAGGCGCCGAAGGCGCCAGTGCATCTAACAAACATTGGCGGCGAGCGAGGGGGGGGAGTGAGAAGAAGAAGGCCTTCTCAGAAGCTTCAGAAGTCCCCGGTCCTTCCGAGAAGTTTTCTAAGCCTTCCTCGAAGACAAGCCAAAACTTGTCAGAAGGCGCGAGGGCTTCTGAGAAGAGGAGTCCCGCCGCCTTCTGAGAAGGCCCTCTCCTTCTCGCTTCCCCCCTCGCTCGCCGCCGCAAAAAAGCCCGGCGGTGGGGCCGAAACCAGCTGCTTGCAGCAGATTTGGGGAGCGAAGAGCATACCGATACCACTGCTCCCTGGTTCTCTCCAGGGGCGCGTTCGGCCCAGGAAACCTTCCCTCCTTTGCTTAGGTCGGGCATGTTGTCCTCCTACTGGCAGGTTTGGGACAAGAGGTTAAACATAGTCCAGAAATAAGCAAACAAATTTAAAGTAGTAGCAAAAATCGTCCCAGACTATGATTTGACCATTTTTGAATATTCCTCCTTTAGAGGGACATGCCCCACATAATCCTTTGCCCCTTCCCCGCCGGGGGGGTGGGGGGGTCCCGGGGGAGGTCCCAGAGGGGGGTCCCCCGGGGGCGGTCGGGGGGGTGGAGGGCCCAGGGGTTGTCACCCTTCCCCCGCTGGGGGCTTTCCCCTTCGGCTGTCGCCTCCCAGACGCCCGCCCCCGAGGAGACAGTCGGCTCTCCTCCTCTCCATCCTCCTCCTCCTCCTCCTCCTCCTCCTCCTCCTCCTCCTCCTCTTCCTCCTCCTCCTCCCCCTCCTCCTCCTCCTCCTCCTCTTTCTCAACTTTCTCCTCTTTCTCCTCTTTCTCCTTTTTCTCATCCTCCTCCTTCTCCTCCTCCTCGTCCGTCCTCCTCCTCCTCCTCCTCTCCTCCCTCCTCCTCCACACCCTCCTTCTCTTCCCCCTCCCCCTTCTCACTCCTCCTCCCCCTCCTCCTCCCACTCCCGCCCATCCTGCCTCCACCACCCACCCCATGTCCCGAGCCCGTGGCAGGGTCATCAGCTCGTCGTTGTCGTTGTCGTTGTGGTCGTCGTCGTCGTCGTCCTTCGGGGTCGGCGGCGCCGACCGCAAGGCCTTCACCATACTGGTACCACTGCTCCCTGGACCTCCAAGGGCGCGTTCCAGCCCAGATCCCGAGGCGAACTCAACCGTGGCGACGAGGGATGGGCGGCGGCATCGGCACCTCCTCCTCCTCCTCCTCCTCCTCCTCCTCCTCCTCCTCCTCTGAGATTCCCCTGACCCCCCTCCCGCCCGACCCGACCTCGGCCTCCTGGCGCTACCAGCGCGCGGGCCGCGCGCAGCGCGCGGCAGCGGCGGGGCCGCGCCCGGCCTGCCAGGGGCCGGAGGCCAGCGCGGGCTGCCGCCGCAGCTGCGCCCGCAGGTCCTCTGCGCGGAGGGCGCGGCGCCGCGCCCGCGGCGGGCGCTTTTTGGAGGCCTGGGCAGGGGCACCAGCGCCAACACAGGGGGGTTGCCTCCACAGGGGGGAGACGGTCTTAGATTGAATGGGCCCTGGAAACGACAGGGCCGTTTTTTTACCGGTTCCGTTTTGCCGTTTTGTTTGCCGGTTCCGACGCCGTTTTTTTACTGGTTCCGTCGCCGTTTTTTGACCGGTTCCGGTTCCGGTTCCAATCCTGGAGCCGTTTTTGTTTGCCGTTTCCGGTCGCCGTCTTTTTGCCGTTTCCATTTTCAAGGGACATGTTTTTGGAAACGGTGAAAAAACGGCCCTGCCGTTTCCGGGGCCCACAAAGGGGGTTGCCTCCACAGGGGGAAGATGGTCCTAGATATCGGTGCTGGTGCTACTATTGCGGCCACCTTGGAGCCAGACTCTTCCCTTCAGCACCGACATCGGGATCTTTTCTCCCTCGGTGGAGGCACACCGCCGATCTTGGTGTTGGTGTCAACCTCTAGGCCTGCGACGCTGACGCCGGCGCCATGGTCTTCGCTGCCATCGTCGGCTTCACCGCAGTAGCTAATTGTAGCCGTCACCCTCGCCGTGGTCCTCGTCGTGGTCATGGTCGTGGTCGTTGTCCTCGTCGTGGTCCTCATCGTGGTCGTCGTCGTGGTCGTCGTCGTGGTCGTGGTCGTGGTCGTGGTTGTCGTCGTCTTTGTCGACGTCTCATTCTTAGGTCATAAGTACTGTTGATCTCGGGAGAATCGCTTCCGGGCGCTCCTGCCTCGAGGCCCGCGACCTCTTGTCTGAGAAGGAAGCTCCCGGTCGAGCGCGGGCTTGGTCCCAAACGTGGCCCCCTGAAGGCCAAAGCCACGACGACAACCGCTCCCGCTCGATACTCCCGCACAACAGTCCAGGACGGCCTGGCCAGAGGGGGCCCAGACACGGGCACGGCGCTCTCGCTCGAGAAGTCCTCGCACGTCACTCGAGCTTGTGAAGGTCTGGCTGTGGCGACCACGGCTCCCGTTTGACACCTCCTCGCCATTCGCTCCAGGTCGCCTTTGCCGGGGGGACCTCCGAACGCACGGCGCTCTCGCTTGAGCCTTCTCCGAACGCCACTCGAGGTCGGAAAGGCCCAGACGGCTCCCGCTCGATACTTCCTCGCAGTCTACTCCGAGGCGCCCTGGCCAGAGAGGCCCAAGAACAGAAGAACGGCGCTGCCGCTCGCCCGAGACTTCCGCGTAACCCCCAGAAGTTGGCAACGGCCCAGCTACGACGACGACGGCTCCCGCTCAGCGCTTCCTTACAATTTGCTCCAGGACGCCCTGGCCAGAGAGGCCCCGAAACTGACGACCTCTGCTCTCGCCCAACACTTCCTCGCAATTCAATCAAGTTCGTAAGGGCCCACCTGCGACGACAACGGCTCCCGCTCGACACTTCACGATTTACTCCGAGGCGCCCTGACAGGAGAGGTCCTGAAGCTGAGGAACAGCGCTCTCGCCCGAGACTTCCTCGCAGTTCCATCAAGTTTGAGAGTTGCCTGCGGGCGCGCTAGCTCGCATTATGGCCACGGCGGCGCGGTACCCGTACAGAGTGCGCTGCTGACTGTTTCCCCCAGGAACTGGTATGAAAGCCAGCCTCCCCATAGACCTAGCGGGCGTGTGCAAAAGAGAAAGCGAAACACGTGAAGGTCGAAACTGCTTTTGGGATCACATGCTTGCAAAATGGCCGTCGTCGTCGATGTCGTCGTCGTCGTCCCAGTCGCAATCGTTGTCGTGCGTCGTCTCACGTCGTCGTACGTCGTGCGTCGCCGAAGCCCTCGAGGAGAAGCGGTTGAGAGAAGGAGAGGGCGAGAGGGCAGGAAGGAGCGTTGAGGACGCAGGAGAACGGGGAGGAGAAGGAAGGGGGTTGGAGGGGCGATGAGCAGGATGAGGGGACAAGCGCGAGGAGGATGTGGAGGAAAAGGGGGAAGACGTACGAGAAGCGAGGGGGAAGGGGCGGAGGGAGGAGGACCCGGAGGAGGGGAGAAGGGGGGAATTTGGGGAGGGTGGAGGGGCGAAGGGGGGGAAGAACAGGCTCGAGGGATATGTTTTGACTGCAGCGGGCTTGGGCGGAGTTTCATGTCACAGTGCAATGAAAGGCGCGCTCTGCAGGCGCGGCCTGCGTGCAGCCGTGCCCGTGCCCGCGCAGGGTCAGTGACCTCCCTGGCCGGGACCAGTTGAACTACCCAGACGACGGGCGGCTGCCGATAGTCTCGAGCGCGAAAGATACCTGTACCCTTACCTGGACAGGGTGGCAAGGGGCCGGGGGGGCGGTTCGTCGCAGCTGACGGCGGCTGCACAAGTGTAGAAACGACAGCCGATCGAGCATTGCAGACCGCTGTCTTCTCGGGGCGCACGTTAGCACCGATCGCACGTGCGTTCGAACCGGCGCAGCGCCCGACCCTGCGTTGGTTGTTGTCGACGTAGACCAGCTACTGCGGAGGCGCGCCCCCAGACACACATCCGGGCGTTGAGGAGTCAACGCGCACTCGGGGGCGCATGCGAACAACTCTGGCGCGAACGTCATTGCGCGACAACCGCCCTATCGGGAATTGCTCGATGCAGAGGCATCGCGAACCGAATCTGTGCCCTGGGCGAGGTCGCCAGAGGCCGCCCCCCTTGGACGGCCGTCTGCGGATCACCCCAGCTAAGTACGGTTGCCCTATGAAAACCCAGAAAACATACCCGTACCTAGCCGGGGTGCCGCAGCTCACCCCAGCTAGGTCCGGGTATGTATCGGTGGTTTCAGGCATGTCCCCGTGCCTAGCCGAAGTGGCGGCAGGCCCAAAACGCTCTCGAGCACATATCATGCCCCCCAGAGCCGTCCCCGACGTGGCCGCTGCGGCCCCGTGGGGGCGCGACATTGCAACGTCGTTCCTCAAGGCAGGCCCAGACGCATTCGTTGCCAGGATAGCGAGGAAGTGCAACTCTTTATCGATTGGGACAGGCGCCGCCACGTATGGGCGGCTTTGAACCGCGCACGCACCACGATGCCCCGAGACGTCCCTAACAAAAACCAGCGCTTGTCGCTGCAATCAGACACCCAACCATCGAGCGCGCCGTTGCGTCTTGACGCGCGGATGCTGCACTGGCGCGCGCGGGGCAAGCTGACCGGGCACAATAGCAAGCGCCCAGTCCCCTGGACGGCCCATCTCACCTTGGCTGGCCCCGGGTACGGGTATCTTTCGGACCAATGAGATAGGGAAAATGAAGGGGCCCTGGGACACACAAATAAATAGACACAAGTCCCGGGATTCCCCAAATTTTCAATTATTCTCTGGGTTCTCGTCTTCCCCCCTCTTCCCGTATGTTCCCATATTTTCTGGTGTATCGACGACTAATCGTGTCTGTGTGTTTTTCCCCTCCTGAGAAGAGGAGGGAAGGACTCACAGAAAAAACAAGGGAGGGCGGAGGCGGGGCAGGGCGAAGAGGGAACAGCCCCAGCCCAGGCGTCCGCAGCTAGACTGTCTCGCCCTGTGGAGGGGCACGGCCTGCACGCAGCAGGCGTAGGGACGAATCGTAGACGAACTGGAAGAGAAGAGGTGGGAACATCGTAGGCAAACCATTCGTAAATGAGGCGGCTGGGGCACCTCGTAGGTAAGATGTGAGGTCTGGGAGGTCGGGGAGGAGGAAGAGGAGAGGTGATGACGACGGGCGAGGAGGGGGAAGACTGTGATGAATGACGAGGAGGTGGGGCGAGGAGAACTCTTGATTCCCTTACACTTGCCAGGCAACGAATATGATAAAAATACACATACCGAGCACCCCGCAATTGCGGATAAGAGTGAGGGGGCGGGCGCGGGCGACGCGGGCGTCGTCGAGCCAGCGGACCTCGTGGCCCCCACCTTCCTTGTCGATGGCGCTCTCCTCCACCTCCTCCTCGTCCTCCTCCTTCTCCTCCTCTTCCTCCTCCTTCTCCTCCTCTTCCTCGTCCTCATCGTCATCGTCATCCTCCTCCTCCACCTCGTCCTCCTCCTCCTCCTCCTCCTCTTCTTCCTCGTCCTCCCTCTCCCCCCCTCGTCTTTTCATCCTGGTCCTCCCATTGCCGTCCTCCCCCTCATCGGCCTCCATCATCGTCCTCCCATTGTCGTCCATCATCATCATCATCCTCCCCAATCCTCCCCCTCCTCGTCCTCCTCCTCCCCCTCCTCCCCCTTCTCCCCCTCGTCCTCCTGCTTCTCCTCCTTTTCTTTCTCTACGTTCTCCTTACATCCTCTCTTCTTCCACGTTCTCCTCGTCCCCTGTTTACTCATCCTGCCTCCCCCTCCTTTTCCCAAGATAACTGCAACGCAATCCTTTTTTCCACTTTATGCTCCCCGCCTTCTCTGATCAAGGCAACTCGCCAGGGCAAAGTTGCTGGACGGGCTGGCGTGGATGTGCGGGGCGTGAAGAGGTCCTTGCGGGCTCAGACGGCATGCAAGAATCCGCCGCCGCGCTTGTGCGGCATTGGTTTGTTCAGTGAGCGTGGTTTAGGTCGCGGGTGGGTCGCGGGCTCTCCACCTCCACCTGGAAGGAATGCAAAAGCAGCCCGCCGCAAGCGCCAAAAAAAATGGTTCGTACACGGAACGAGGTTTGGGTCGCGGGTGGGCCGCGGGTTCTCCACAGGGAACGAATGCAAAGGATGCCCGCCGCAGGCGCCGAAAATGTGGTTTGTACCCTGAACGTGGTCGCGGGTGGGCCGCGGGCTCTCCACCTGAAGCGAATGCAAAATATGCCCGCCGCAGGCGCCGAAAAATGTGGTTTGTACCCTGAACGTGGTTTGGGTCGCGGGTTGGTCGCGAGTTGGTCACGGGATGTGTCGCGGGCTCTCCACTTGGAAGGAATGCAAAAAAAGCCCGCCGCAGGCGCCGAAAATTGTGGTTTGTACCTTGAACGTGGTTTGGGTCGAAGGTGGGTCGCGGGTGGGTCGCGGGGTAGGTCGCGGGTGGGTCGCGGGTGGGTCGCGGGTGGGTCGCGGGTGGGTCGCGGGTGGGTCGCGGGGTGGGCCGCGGGGGGGTCGCGGGGTGGGTCGCGGGTTGGGTCGCGGGGTGGGTCGCGGGGTGGGTCGCGGGGTGGGTCGCGGGGTGGGTCGCGGGTGGGTCGCGGGTGGGTCGCGGGTGGGTCGCGGGGTGGGTCGCGGGGTGGGTCGCGGGTGGGTCGCGGGGCGGGTTGCGGGTGGGACGACGACAACAAACAACAACAACAACAACAACAACAACAACAACAACAACAACAACAACACAACACAAACAACAACAACAACAACAACACCAACAACAACAACAACAACAACAAACAACAACAACAACAACAACAACAACAACAACACCAACAACAACAACATCAACATCAACAACAACAACAACAACAACAACAAACAAACGAACAACAACAACAACAACAACAACAACAACAACAACAACAACAACAACAACAACAACAACAAGAATCCGCACCGCGGAATTCCACATCAGCCACGCACCCAGGGACAGTGAATGACCGTTCGGCCCCCTCACTCTGATGAATGCAAAAAGATGTTTCAAAACTCTGACACCTTGAGGCCTTGGGCGCTGTCACGGAGAATGAGGAGGAAACATAGCATTAGGAAGAGAGGGGGCGAGGAAGAAGAGGTTCAGCCGCGAGAAATAAAACATAGGGCGCTGTTCGGGGCGCAGTGGGGTTCTGAGAGGGCGGGCTCCCCCTGCAACTGCATCAGACACCTCATGTTCTCAGCGCGAGGCTGGCCAAACCTTGCACGCTGGAGGCAGACGTGTTAGACAAAAAACAGCCCAACTGCCCTTGCGAAAACTGGGCCAGTGGAAGTAAACGCGCCGGATAGGCCCAGTGGCGCCATGGCAAGAGCCAGAGACCAAGCGCACATGATGGTAGCACCCATAACTCACAAGCATCTTTCGCTTACGACACTGGCTCCCATCTCTATCCACAACCTGGGTGGCCCAGACTTGGGCAAATGTATCCGAATGAACACCACACGGCGCGACTCCGGGCCTAGTTCCGACAGAGACTGGCAGCGGGCGGACGATCCGAGCTGGCACCGGCCGAGCCGCCGCGCGGGGCTGTCCCGAGAGTCTCGCTCCGAGAGCCGTTCTCGGGGGCCTATTGCCGATCCATCGGCGATGTGTCGCCGATTCCAAGTCGATGATTCCACCCCAGAGCCAGCCCCCGCTTTGATTGCCCCTCACCTTCACCACGAGTCCCCATTCCTCCTTCTCCTGGGCATTTTCTTAGGGTGGAGGGCTTAGGGTGGAGCATCTCAGATCTAACCCTCTGCCCTCCACCCCAAAGGAAATGCTCGGTTCTCCCTCGACGAGACCAGAAGCTCCGAGCACGAGTGCTCCACACAGTTGGCGAGCGGGCTCTGCGCCCCGGGGTCTCCTCGACGGAGCCGGAGCCCTCGCAGTCGCCCCAGCAGCCCCACCGCCCCGCCTCCGCTGCCTGCGAGTCCACGGGGCAGGAGACCAGGACGGGGGGATGGCAGTGGAGGGCCTGCGCTCGCGCCTTGGATGCGGACGGCACCTGTGTGCAAGTCGCTGCGTCGCACGGGCCCGCTGGGGCCCCAGGCAGGTTGACCCCGGACCCGCTCGCTGCATGAGAGAGAAAGAGAGCGCCTTGCATTGGCGCGGTGCTTCGCTGCATCCGGCCTCTCCCCGCCCCTTCCCCCCCTTCGAAGCCCCTCCTCCACACCTCTCCCCTTCCAAGAGGAGAATCCACCCCGTCACTCTCCCCCCACCCCCCCGCCGGAAAGTCGGGGTGGGCCCCGGGTTCTCCCTCTCCCCCTCCTGTGAGCTGGCGAGCGACGACGATCACGACTACTACGCAGGCGGCTGCGACGGCGACGCTGTCGTCCATGGCGACGACGATGCTACCTTCGTCGTCGTCTTCGCGGTCGTTCGCCAGCGCGCAAGGGGGATTACCCGCCCTGGCTTTCAAAGGGAGGGGGGGTTTGCAAAAGGCCAGGGACGTTTGGTGGGGAGAGCATATACCTGGCAGGCCCCCGCCGCCTGCGAGCACCTGCAGGAGGCCATCTTGGCCCTCTTTTTCCAGCACGAGTGGCCAACAGGAAAGGGGGCGACATCAGCACAGGGATGTACTGATACGTGAAACTGCTACCACTCCGTTCGCACTCGCACTTAACAGTTCACCCTTCTACGAACAACTCGATCCTGTAGCACCTGCGATGCGATCGGGACAGAACTTCAGTTGGGAACTCAGCCGCGGCGACGAGGTAGCCCTGCGAAGCTGCATCAAGGCCCCCACCAGACTCGATTCTCGGACTCGGCGGAGGCAGGAGGGGTGCATCGCCCAGGGGCGGGTATCACACGCGTTCGCTGGGCAGCCTCGCCGAAGGCATGGGCGATTGGAGCACCTGGAGAGGTGCGGCCCGGAGGCCTCCCAGACGGGGTCGCAGGATCGCGCCGCATCACCGATGTATGGGCGCCGTCGGCGGTCGAGAACATCGGGCCCCACACTGTTGAGCAGGGACCGACCGTCCCGGCATTCCTCTAGTCACACCACGAAATGTTCTTAGAACCCCAAAATGTTCAGCCATGTTCTTAGAACATCAACCCGATGTGCCAAAACAAGAGGCTGCTTGACATTGAGAGCCACCTCGATCGAGCCACGCCCGGCTCTGCACCGCGCCAGCGCGCACATCGGCGCCGCGGCGCGCTGCTCCCGGCCCCGCCCGCATGGGAGGCCTGGGCGCCACCAGGGCCTTTCCGTGGGCTGCCCCCGCCCCTGCCGCAACCGCCGACGAACTCTCGGGCCTCGACAGACGAAAGCTCCGCACCCCGGCGCGCACGTGTGGTCGATGCGGCGCCGATCCTCCTCCTCCTCCTCCTTTTCCTCCTCCTCCTCCTCCTCCTCCTTTTCCTCCTCCTCCTCCTCCTCCTCCTCCTCCTCCTCCTCCTCCTGCCGCTGCGGGCCACACGCGGTCTATCCGCGTCTCCTCCTCCTCCTCTCCTCCCTCCTCCTCCTCCTCCTCTCCTCCCGTCTCCTCCTCCTCCTCCTCCTCCTTCTCCTCCTCCCCCTCCTCCGCCGCCTCCTCCTCCGCCTCCCCCTTCCCCTCCCCCTTCCCCTCCCCCTTCCCCTTCCCCTCCCGTCCGGGTCCCGGGGTGGAGCATCGCCCCTTGAATTTTGTGGACCCCCTCAGGGGCGCGCTCTGGCCAGCACTTCGAACGGGGGCCTGGCCGCGGCGACGGGAGAGGGCTCCAGGAAGGCCGCCCCCCCCCCCTCCCCCCCCCCGAAAGTACAATCCAAAACTCCAATAAGGACGCGTGGTAAGGACGCAAGACCCTTGGAAGCTGAAGTTGGGATTTTTGGGGCTGCGGACGACGAAAACCCCAAGGACGCACGAGCAAAGAAGAGCAAGGACGCACGGGTACCCTGAGTAAAGTCGCGCGTCCTTATTAGGGTTTTTGACTGTAGTCGAAAACGGTTCGAATCTCTAGAAGAAGACAGAACGGCATAAGCATAAACTGTCGACGGGCCG